CCCCAAAACCCCAAAACCCCAAAACCCCTGAATGACCAATTCAGTTCATTTTTAAGTTTAAATATTTTGAATGTATTGAGTGATATTATTTTTATTATTCGCTAATTGAATTTGCAATTTCTTGCGAAAATGACATCAATAGTAGATACTCGAATGCTCATGAACGATTTCATGCAGAGGTAACATTTATAAAACTTTCTGAACTAAATGAACAATATACTATTAGAAATGAGAAATTAAAGAGTTTAATCGGTGAGAGTTTGCCCTCTAAAGAGAAGAAACAGAGATAAATTCAAATGATGATGGGAGATCAATGCAGTAGCAAATTTACTAATGACTTCAACACAAATCCATTTAACAGGGAAGCTAGTTATTCATAAGAATTAATCAGCAAACTCTTCCCAGATGAGTAGTCTTCCTAAGACTTAGACAAAGAAGGAGGAGCTCGTTTCAATTCAGATAATCAAGGGAAGAGAAGCGTTAAAATGCTAGGTGACTCTTTTTTGAATGGGGGAAATGACTAAAGCAACTTGATGATCCTTGATGATTATGTTGAGATGAATACAATTTAGCCTAAAAATCAAGAATATGATAAAATCTTTCAATCAAAGTCCTAGAATCTAATCATGGCAAACTCAAATTCTTAGATATCATCTCAAAACAGTTCTTCGCAAGAGTAGCAGAACAAAAATATGCTCACTTCCTAGGATATTTCAAGAATTTTAGATACTACTTTTAATTAAACAACAACTATTAATTTGCCACCTTCTCAATAAAACGTGAAAGCAACTGGACCTAAAAGCCCCATTTTTAAGAATCAATAATAGAAAGGTGGACTTAAGGGTGGATTTTTTAACAAAATGCAGAATTTTATGTTTGACTTGAAGGCGGTCAATGAGTGCAATAATGTGCTTGAGGAGAGCTTAAATGATATATAGTCTTCTAATTCAAGAGATGTAGTAAACTTTAAATCATAAAAATAGCAAGATGAATTGGATTCCTTATTCATTAACGCTCGTAAAAAGCTTAACCTAGAAACAGCATTGATGGAAGAGTAGTCAGTAGTATCTGACTCAGTCGACATCAAATCTGTCCAAAGTGACTCAGAATAGGTAACTCTAGTGCAAAGAACACCATTTTCAGATCAAAACCAAAAATGTAGAGATTTCACAAATAAAACCAGTATTGACGATATTCTAAATTCGGCATTTTCCTAGTTTTAAGAAAAGATGAAACTTCAGTTTTAGGAAATCATTAAAAAAGATTAGATTTTTGTAATTTTTCCTACAGCTTAATTTTACTTTTAGGGTGATCTTATAGATGAGCTCAAGATTGATCTTGTTACTAAATTGAATGAGTCAGTAAGAAATGGAAGCATTGATAGAAAGAATCCATGGAGATTAAACTTATAAGATGATCAGAATTTCCTGAGATCTGAAAGAAATAGCAATAATATCTAAACAGCTAATCCAAGTTATGACATGAAAAGTGAAAATTCCTCTAACTATATCAAATCTGTTGCTGCTTTTTCAGCTCAACCAAACACCTTGGTATGTTCAAACTGTAAACGTAGGATTAGCAATAATAACTTTGTGATTCCTTCCAAGGGTAAACTAAACATTAACCCATTCTAACATTATGGCTTCAAAACTAGTCAAAAATCAACAAGTTTGGAAATAATGAATCAAAACTTTAAGAGAGTAATGAGCGGCCCTAATTTCAATCCAGACATCATTATGAATAATCTTATCAATCAAGTGACATAGAACTAGATTGATATCATAGCATAAAAACATAAATCAACGAGTATCAATTAGATTAACTTTGAAGGACTAATCGATGAAATGAGGTATGTTAACTAAGATATTGAAAATGAAAACATCATGATACCCAGAAAAAGAAGCATTTCTTTCAATAAAGACTAGAAATCAAGAAATTAATCTCTTACTGAAGATGAGGTTTAAATGGACTTGAAGGATAGTTGTTCGAAGTAGTCAATTGCCACATTATTATTGACTTGAATGAATATATTTTGAGTTTATATCAATATTCACGCAATGTAGTGAGTGAATCAACTTTCACCGATAGGTTTACTATAGTATCATTATTTAAACTAAAAATTACTCCCGAATCTCTTTTCAAACTCTATAAGCGGGGTTTTGGGGTTTTGGGGTTTTGGGGTTTTGGGG